AAATGCGGAAATTGTATGACAAATGAAATAAAGGCATGGCAAAAACCAAGAATCCAGGCCAATGTCAATATAATGATATTGACGTTTGACTTTATCATAAATTGTTTAGTAAAGACAAGGCTGTATGGCTTAGTTCCTTTGCCTGCTCTCTCGAGCGAATAATAAAAACAACAACAACAACTATTTCGTACCAAATACTACAATAATATTTCGTACGGTGAACGTAAAATTAAAGCTTACTGTCAGCACCGAAATCATAAAATGAAATCGAAAAAGTTATAAATACACTAAGAATGATGCTGATCGTAAACTGCAATGCAATTATGTACGGACTAGAAAACAGTTACGATAAATCACAACTTCTTACTGATTGCACGCTTCGAAGTAGTTGTTGTCCTGGATTTAGATCCTTCTTTTTTGGGAATGACATCTGATGCTGAAAGCGAGGTAGCCCGTTCTACATAAGCTTTGTGTTGAGTTGTCAGCTTCTCTAGATCATTTGTTGTAAACACCTTGGAACGGGATCCAGTAGTAAGTTTGACATTTATCACCCCGTCCAAGGTCTACACATTCCTAATACCGAAGTGCCTGCGGGCCTCTAAGAATAAAGACTGCCTCATTCATGTTAGATATTCTGACTACACATATGGGCTACCCTTGAGCAAAGCTTTCTTGGCCTGTACCTCCTTACGTAATGGATTGTCTTCAAATTTTATGAGAATCGGACGAGGGTGGCCATTAGATATTGTGCCAAGACGATGACACACCTGCAGCGACTGACTAGAACAATTTTTGATACCAAGATTCTTCGTGATGACTGATAAAAAATTCACGGAAATTCTCATTGGTATTCTCGACTACTTCTCCTAGCAGCAGAAACTCCTTTCTGTGTCTACTTTCAATGGCATCCACGTTACAAATTAGATGGTTAATTTGCTGCCGCAGTAATGTAAATGTTGAATAACATTCTGGATAACATTCTGGATGTTTCGGGAAAATGTGTATTTAAAGCCGCTGCAAGCCGCGATCGGGTTAGTATTGAATTTGGCGATACAAGTGAAGCTCGGAACGCAATAAAGTGAATCAGTGTGATTAATTATTAGTGTCTTTTAAGTTTTAATTGGTGTTCGGTAATAAAAGTGTACATTTTGGTAATTCAATCGGCAGTTTTTATATAATAACTACGTTTCAAACTCGTAACACTAACTACGTTTACTAACCGGGAATACTACTGCACATCAAGCAATGTCTTTTGATTGGGCATCATTGATAATGAAAATAAATACTTTCGTTATGCTCTCCAGAAGATTTCAAGTTCAAATCCAGAATGTTTCAAGCTCGTAACACTATTTTGATAGGGTTGACACAGGAGGATAATATAAAATAAACAATAATAGAGAATAAACAAAACGATTATTAGTTTTTAATAATGTATCTATGATAAAATATAGTTTAACAAACTAATCACTCTAAATATTTTATTTTCATATTTATGGTATTTGAGTAATTTGTGGTGCGTTTTAGTTGAATGGTAAATTTTAAATGTAATATAAAGTTTATTTAAAGAAATAAACTATTAAAAATAATCTAACAGAGATCACTCACATGGCATGTGTATTAGTTTGTACACGTTTTAATATATTGCTATCAATATTAACAATAATTATTTGAAAAAAAATTCGCAAAGCAATCCAACAAATACGAAAAATTTGTTGAAATATAAGAATGTATGAGATAACTACCAAGTTCAAAGCTTTAAATAATAATTCCCTAATGGAATCTTTGGGATAGTAAAAAAATTATATATTTTCATTAAATTTATTTGCTTACAATATTATTCCATGTAAGTACTACTTCTAGTTAATATTAATTTTTACGTACTATTATCGTTCATACATACAGTACATAAACCGTATTTACACTTTTTATATTTTACATATATGTGCGGGTCAGGTCGATAGGGGTGCACAATGTCTCTACATCTTCAGTTTAGTTGAGCTTCTTCATTGATATGACGATTTATTTTTGTTGATCAGCAGGGTGCAGCTCTCGCAAGTGAGATTAATATTTGGACAAAGGGTTGTGGTATTTTTTACAGTCTTAATCAATTTATTTATCAATTACTTATATCATTAAATAACATCTAATAATAAAACATAAACACTTTCGTCATCACCTCACTATATCTTTGTATTGTAAGGTAGTAGGTTAAGACTGATTATATACAAGTGGCGGGTAAATGAAGAGAATACAGCGAATTCATTACGGAATAAACGGATAGAGATTACACTACGTTCTTGGTGTTCTCTCTGACTTTATATATACATTACATTGGCGATGAGGATAAAAACGTAGTTTTATTGTGTTTTTAATCGTTGTGAGTAAAAGTTTAGAAGTTAATTCAAGGACAATGTCGATTGGAAAAGTAAACGAGTTCGATGTAAAAACCGGGGTGTGGTCGTCGTATGTCGATAGATTTGAGATGTATTTTACGACAAATAAAATAAATGGTGATCTTAAGTTGCCCACGCTAATAGCGGTCATAAGCGATGAGGCCTACGAGTTGCTGGTGAACCTGGCTAGCCCCGTGAATCCGTCGGAATTAAAATGCGACGCCGCTATTAGTCTATTGCGCAACCACTTACAACCGGCACCATCCGCTTTAGCGGAAAGGTATCGTTTTAGACAAAGGAGGCAAGCAGTGGATGAGAATATAGCAGAGTACGTAGCAGAGTTAAAAAAATTAACACGTCACTGCAAACTGGGCGACGGTCTTAATGAAAGTCAACGGGATCAATTTGTCTGCGGATTAAGGAGCGATGTTATTCGGCAGAGGCTGTTTGCGGAGGATGACACATTAAGTTTCACCAATGCGATAAAAATTGCCAGCTCGTTAGAGGCCGCGGAGCGGGACGCTGCGGCGGCAGATGCAACCGGGTCAGCAACATCAGGAAGAGATATGGCGGGGGTGCACTCGCTGGCGATCGGGAAAAATGGGTCGCGGAGAACGTTGGGGGAGGCGGGCGCGGAATGCGCGGAGACCGCCAGCCACAACACAATCACAAGTAAGGAGGCCCGATGCAATCGGCAGTCAAAATTGCAGCGGATGCGGAGGGACAGGCCACGGTTATGAGGATTGTCGGTTCCGGGAATACGTGTTCAGTTGAAGCTGAAAGTCAGGTGCAAGCGCATGGGTCACTTACGACGCGTGTGTCCGGGACAGGGCGCGGCAGGTGTTCGTACATCCAGGCAGACCGCCTTTCATCAGGCAGACGTAGCACGGCATGATGAAGACGGCGGTCAATTAGAGGAGTTTCACCACCTATGTATAGATATAAGGCGGTGAGTTTCCCAGTGACTGTAAATAATAAAGACATCAATATGGAGGTTGATACGGGAACGGCAGTGTCATGCATTAGCGAACAAACTTATAAGCTATATTTTAGTACCATTAAGTTAGATCGCACAAGTGTTAGTTTGAAGTTCTATGACGGTTCGTCACTTAGACCTTTAGGATTAATCACACCGGAAGTTTGTTACGGTGGAGAAAAAAAAGATTAGAATTGTTTGTTGTCAAAAGAGGAACCACGTCCTTGTTGGGCAGGCAGTGGTTATCTGAATTAAAAATAAAATTACCATTATTCACCAACTGCCATAACTTGGAGAGTAACGGAGGTAAATTAGATGATCAATTGAAAAATTTGTTTTCCAGATATAAAGAATTGTTTGATGGAGGGCTGGGACGGTACACGAGCGGCAAGGCGACGGTAAGAATCCGCGAGGGGGCAGCGCCGGTGTTTCATCACGCGCGACCGATACCGTACGCGCTGCGCGAGCGCGTCGACGCCGAGCTGGACGCGATGCTGCGCGACGGCATCATTGAGCCCGTCGACTGCTCCGATTGGGCCTCGCCGCTGGTACCGTTAAACAAAGCTGACTGTTCGTTGAGAATTTGTGCTGACTATAAGGCGACGATAAACCCTGTTTTGTTAGTTGATCGATATCCCTTACCTAGAGTTGAGGATTTAATTGTTAGGTTGATTGGATCGAAATATTTTTCAAAAATTGATCTGTCTCAAGCCTATAATCAGATAGAGCTAGACGATACTAAAAAGTTAACACTTTAACAGCCGACCGTTATAAAGGTGGCCGTTCCTGGTACGCCGGTGATTTTTGCCGATATTCTATGACTCATAAAATAAAAACTATTTGTGATATGTATATTATTCTTCTTTTATATGTACTATTGTTCTTTATATTTTAAAGGAAGAAGTAAAAAACATTAAAAATAATGAAAAATATTTATGAAAAAAAATTAACAAAAGAGGTCTACAAGCGAAAAAAAAAAACTCCAACATAAACATTCTTACATACTTGAGCTAACTAAAGAACGTAATTTTTTTGTGTGTGGAACATTTTGAAGCAGGGATAGTAGCACAAAGGAACATTGCAGTCTGGGCAGTAATAAATGGTCTCTTTGCGCCCCCTTTTTTCCGGTTTCTTTTTTTGAAATGTCGGCACACACTTTGCAAACTCGTGCGACTTTCTCCTTTTTTTCCGAGCTTGGAATCCTCTCTATGAAGTGCCTACCGACGAGCCTCGTGCTTGTCCCGACAGCATGTGGACCATGGGAGGGTCCTGCTTCAGCATCTGATGCAGTTTCCACCAGTTGTTCCCCAGAGTCCATCAGAAACTGCGAGAATCGCAGGCGGCGTCGTTGTTCTCTGGATTTATTGTACAAAATGTAAGCGTTTACCAGAGAACGCGCTACTAAATTAAAAAACATTTTTTTCCACCATTTCATACTTTTCCTATTCAACGAATAATAGGATACATATTGGTCATTGAGATCTACGCCAATTTTGTAGTGGTTATAGTCGAGGATGCAGTCTGGTTTCACCTTTTTGGTTACGCCCACACCTTTGGCTTTTGTATCCACCTCTGTCCAGCTAGCTCCGTGTTTCGTCGTGAGCATAAGTACATCACGCTTATCTTTCCATTTACAGGCAGTTAGATTGCCGCGGTGACAAAAAAGCCATTTCAGCTTTTTCCAACGGTTGTTGTCGCCAAACCTGTGGCAGACCACGACGATTCGCCATCACTGTGCCTACAGTGCGAGTTTCTTTCAGCCAAAGCAAGTCCGCAATTGTCGGACTCGTAAAAAAACGATCCATATAAATGGTGTGCCATTTACCAAAATATGGTTCACTCAATTCAGCGATAATAGTCTCGACAGATTTTGAGTCGCCAACATAGGGAACCATGCGTAGTATGTAGCCCGTTTCCGCGTCACATAGCATGTAGACTTTCATACCGTATTTATCGGGCTTATCTTTATTGTAAACTCTGAAGTGCACTCGACCCCTAAATCCACAAGTGCCCTCATCAATCGTCAAGTTTTCATTGGGATAAAAACTGTTCTCACACAAAAAACACAGTTCATCGAAATACGGTCTGAGTTTGAAAAAAGCATCGTATTCTGGATCATTACGTGGTTTATAATTTGAGTTGTCGTTCAAATGAAGACAGCTGTAAATAGCTCTGAATCGGTTCCTATTCATGTGCTTTCTGGCGAATGAAGTTTCTATTATTTCACGAGTTGACCAGTAAGAATCAAAACTTTCTTTTTGAACGAGTGTCATATGAATCACTACGGAAAAAAATGTTTTCAGTTCCTGTTTCGTGACTGGTTTCCATTGATAAAGCATAGTGCCAGGTTTCAGGATACCTTGTCGCGTTTGTTTAGCCTTCATTTGAGCTGCATAACGATTTGTTTCAGTCTTGAGCAATTTCCAAAAAGAATCAGGAAAAAAAATTGAGAAACAATCGAACAGTGACGAATTTTCATCAATCGGGGCTAATACGCGAGATATTTCTTGAAATACTGGATTTTCCGGCGGCTGCTGCACTGCTTCGTATGACCATCCATTAGCTTCATCCATTTCCCTGATAGAAGTTGATGCATGTCTGCCGCTGCTGCAGCGGGTAGTCGAGCGCGCCCCTGACCGAACGCGTCCGCCGCGCGATCTCGTTCTGCCTCGAAGTGTAGGTCTCGAGCGACCTCGACTTCGACCCTGTTCTGGTTCAGATACGTTCTCTGACATGTCAGCATCATCATTTTCATGATCTTGGACCGAAACCACCTCATGTAAGTCTTGAATTACCTCTGGAGAGAGAAAACACCAATAAAAATCTAGACTTCGCAAAAAAAGGTATATTCGAATAAAAATACAATAATAAAATACAATAATTTACCTTCAATTTGAATTTCCGGGTCTTCCTCAATGTCTGAGTCAACATCATTTACCAAAACATCAAAAATTTCTTTAGAATCGAGACGCCAACTACGTCGAGCGGAAGCCATTTCGCGCCAAAATGCAAGGACGTGCTCTCACGTTGGTGGCGTGGGAGCACTGGCGACGCGCGCTGAAAGATTGCTTGTCCTGCCTCCACCCCGCACCTCCCGTCGGTGATACATACATGTGGGTGTAGCTAAAGAGTCATTCTACACCGGGGTTATACGCCAATCACGCACCGGGAACGTAATTTTTAAACAGACGATAGGAAAGTCAAACCCGTACGGAGTACGTGATCGGCGTCCCGAGTTGATCGACACTGCCCGTACTCAGTACGTGTACGGCTGTTAAAGTGTTAACCGTAGTTAATACGCACCGCGGCTTATTTCAGTATAATAGGTTAGTGTACGGGCTAGCATCGAGTGCTGGAATATTTCAACGTATTATGTATAATTTGTTAAAGGACATCCCCAATGTCGAAGTATTTTTAGACGACGTCATAATCGGCGGGAAAAATAAGTTCAACCACCTTCAAGCCCTAGAAATTGTTTTTAGCAGGTTACGTAAGAACGGATTGAAATTAAAAAATTATAAATGTATATTTTTTACAAACGAAGTGCAGTTTTTAGGGTATGTACTTAGTAAAGACGGAGTAAAAACAGACCCGAAAAAGATAGAAGCAGTTGCTAAACTACCTAGGCCTTGTAACGTGACCAAGCTACGGTCTTTTTTGGGCTTAGTAAATTTCTACGCAAAATGTATTAAAAACATGAGTATTAGGCTCGTACCATTATACCAATTACTAAAAAAAGGTCAAAATTAGTTTTGGTCGAGGGAATGTGAGCGCGCGTTCGTTAAAGTCAAAAATGTATTAATCAGCGCGGAAGTATTAGCTCACTACGACCCCCAGCGGCCTGTTATAGTAACGTGCGACGCGAGCGCCAGAAGGATAGGAGCCGTGTTGTTGCAGCCGAGCAGTGTTGCCGTTTTAGCGACTTTCTCGCTAGATCTAGCGGATTTTAATAATGTTTAGCGGATAAAAAAATCGTTTTAAGCGAGAAATAATTATGTAGCGACTTCTAGCGACATTTGGACTTTTGTGATGGAGATTTTTTATAAAGTAATTCATTTCAAATAAGTAATTTATCATGTTCAATTTTGTAATCTACCGTTGGTAACAATGTATATTATATAATATAATTTCACGAGAATTTCCGAACATAAAGTAACAATTCAATGTCGTTCATTCACTTTCATCTGTTTCGACCTTAGACCATGGTCTAAGGTTTCGACATACAAAAATGCAGCAGGAGTAAACATATTCGAAGATTTATGTAATTTTGCAATAGTAATATTATCACTACCGCACTCAAATGCAGAATTTGAAAGCGTATTTGGTGCCATGAATTTAGTTAAAAACAAACTGCGAAACAAGCTATCAGAAAAAACTTTAAATTCCATTCTTCTGATTAGAAATCAGTTAAGTATTAAAAAAAGAATTGCACAATGAATGATATTCCCGAAGATGTAGTCAACCAAGTCGATAAAGGCAAACCAAAGATGGGAACTGGAGACATTGACGAATCTTCAACTTCCGCTGAAGTTCTTTTTGAAGATCTGGATCCATACTTCGCTATTCATTTTGAAATTTAGGTACAAAAACGTACTGAGCTAATTGTTTTATTTTTAATAAGATGACTAATGTTTAAACGTGGTTTAAATATTTAAGATTTATTTTTCACAATATTTTTTTATTTTGTACATGAATAATTTTTGTTTTGGTTGTCATATCATTAACCTACACTATAACTGATTTATTTGAAATAGAGTCCGCTCCTTTTAAGGTTTTACTGAATTTATAGATTTAGATTTTCGGTATTCATTGACCATTAGGCAAGATTTTGCAGTTACCCCAATGGTACCACGAAAATATACCTAGGGATATCTAGCGGATTTTAAGAAAAAGAAAAATCCTGTTTTTGGCGGATTTTTTCTGTTAGTCTAGGGACTTTAAAATTTGTAGAACGGCAACCCTGCAGCCGAGCGACGACGGCAGTCGCGAGCGACGATTATGCGAGCGCCCCTTGGCCTATGCGTCACGCACGCTTAACGACGCCGAGAAAAACTACCCCCAGATACACCGCGAGGCACTAGCGATTATATTTGCCGTAAATAAATTCCATCAGTATTTGTACGGTCGGCATTTTACTCTGCGCACCGATCACAAGCCGCTAGTGTCCATTTTTGGACCTAACACAGGTATACCAACTATGGTAGCGAGTCGGATGCAACGGTGGGCAATTATTTTGTCCGCTTATTCGTTTGATATTGAGTACATACGTACCGATGTGAATGCAGTGGACGGCCTGTCGCGGCTGCCGCTGTCGTCTAGTAAGATGACTCATGCGGCGCCCGAGCAAACGTATTTGCATTTCGTTCAGCAATCATTGTTTTTAGATTATAAGTTAAAAATGAAACCACTCGGGATACAATTCTCTCGAAGGTTATTAGCTATATTCGGGATAGTTGGCCAGGGGAATGTAATATTAAGGGTTTAAAACCGTTTTTTAATCGTAAGAATAATTATATGAGGAAATAGGCTGTGTGATGTGGGGACATAGACTAGTCGTTCCGGAGGCCTGTAAGGAAAAAGTTTTATGTATGATTCACGAACCTCATATGGGCATTGTCAAATCCAAGGCTCGAAGCTCGAAGTTATGTTTGGTGGGCCGGTGTGGACGAGGCGGTGGAGCGGAAATGCCGGGAGTGCGAGATATGCGCGGCGCAGGCGGATGCTCCGCCAAAACAGACGCCTCGTATGTGGCAATGGCCCAATCGTCCTTGGTCAACATTTATACATTTAGATTTTATGGGGCCCGTTTTTGGAAAAACGTACTTGGTAGGGGTCGATGCGATGTCAAAATGGCTAGAAATCTATCAAGTAGCGAGTACGGCAGCCACGGGGGTAATAGATAAGTTAGGGGAACTTTTCAGTCGTTGGGAACTACCCAAACAAATCGTTACCGACAACGGTCCCCCGTTCTCAAGTATAGAATTCAATAACTTCATGTGCAGTCACGGTATCGATCATATTTTCACCGTGCTTCGAACGGTTTAGCTGAGAATGCGGTAAAAACCTTGAAGCGGGTTATAAAGAAAGCGGTGCAGGAAAAACAAAACGTAGACAGGGCACTACAAACTTTTTTGCTATATTATAGAAATGCGGAGCATTCAACCACCGACGAGAGTCCCGCTAGGTTATTGTCAGGTAGACGACTGCGCACTAAGTTAGATATTTTAAAACCAGACAGGGAAAACAGGATTTATAAGGTGCAACGACACCAGAAAAACTTAGCCAAAGGAGGAGACAGGAAACTGAATCCTTCGGAAGATGTTTGGTATAGATAATACTTGAAAGAGGAAAAGTGGGACAGTGGTCAATTAGTAGATGTTAGGGGTCCTAATAGCTATACAATTAAGGAAAAAGGTGGGGAAATAATTCATAGACGTATAGACCAATTAAAAAGGAGATCTTTAAGGACATCTATGACATATCTTTACAATGATCATCAGTCAGGTTGCAGCACAAATTCAACCAACGAGCCGACGGTGACACCAAAGGTGGGAAAGGCTCAGCCGGGTCGGTCGGCGGATCGGGATGACCGTGGGGTGTTAGAAACCTCAGAGGCTGAAATCGGCTTAAAGAAGTCGGCAAGAGAGATGACAAGTGAGAACCCGAGTTCACAGGCGTATAAGGATACCTTGCCAAACGTTGTACCGCCCACAGAGCCTCGGAGTCGCCCTATACGGCAATGTAGACTCAAAAACCTTATTATTGATTAAACGCTGATACAATAATGTTAAGTAGTTAAGTTATATTTAAGATTAGCATAGTAATAAATAAGTGTAGAGGAGTGTAATGTAAGGTAGTAGGTTAAGACTGATTATATAAGTGGCGGGTAAATGAAGAGAATACAGCGAATTCATTGTGGAATAAACGGATAGAGATTGCGCTACGTTCTTGGTGTTCTCTCCGACTTTATATGCAAAATATCTAAAAATTACAAATTATTGATATTCAGTTCCGACAAGTGATGACAAAAATTTTGATACAGTTTCAAATTAAGTAGTTTTTTTATAGAATAAGGGTGACAAACGAGCACACAGTCCACCTGATGGTATATGATTACTGTTACCCATAAACATCTTCATCTATCATCGATTACAAATCAAAATGTAGATGCGTTATTATCCGTGAAGATTAAGATGGTATCCTTCCTATCCAGTAAGAAGGGTCTCCGGTTCTCTACACTCCCTGTACGAAACATAGCAGCGTTTAGCTATATTATATTAAATTGGTGATTCCTCTTTTGAAAATAGAAGTCAAAAATACAAAACCCTCTCTCACACTCTATGGTCATTGTAAGTAACAGCGCAAAAATCACGTCGCCTGAGCTCCATTGTTGCAAGTGAAATCCCGTCAGATTCTCACAATAAAAGAATGTTTGAAATAAAACATTTGAAATAATAATAAGTGTTCTTTATCATGTACATAGTAGAAAGCAACAGAGTTTTTTTTAGGTTTAAGATATTATTTATTTTTCAATAGATTACAAATCGATTATGTACGAGAAATTAAAGAAAGATAATATTTTGATTCTTTCATAATTTTAGGTAAAGCATTATACAGTTTTGCACCGTCAAACATTATATTTTTCTTACCATGCTCGGTTAGAACTTTTTGTATGTACATATTATAGGCACGTCTAAGGTTACGATTGTTGAAAACTATATTTTTTAAACAATATTTGCAAATGAATGTCGTTTGTGAATGTAGTGTATTAGAAAGAGCGAAGACCATAAAATTGACCCTCGGACCGTATTTAACAAGCTTAGGACTACTAACACGTTTATCTATTTTAACTACGTGAAAACGGTTTGTGGGATACGACATTATCATTTGTTGAGTCAATATAGTTATAGCGAGCATAACAGAATTTCATGACTTACGGTGGTATTAAACGCCTTCTTTATATCAATAAAAACTCCAGGGGCTATGTTTTTTTAT